AACGAGGATAGATGCCTTTAAACTAAGAACAAATGAAGACCAATTCCGAGAGGTCTTAGCGGATAAGTTCGAATCTGATCCTTCACATAATCAAGATCAAATTGACGAGATTAATAAAAACCTAAATAAAAACCTTCTCGCAGCAGGACTACAGGTCGCAAAGAAAACAAGGACTAAAGAAGACAAAATAAACAATGAAACTAAACAGCTAATGACGGAAAGAAGACAACTACTAGCGCAAAACAAACGCCATACTCAAGAATATAGAGAACTTAATAAAACAATTAGAAAAGAACTAAAACGCGACATACAGAAATGGAACGAGAACTTAATAGAGCGAGTCATTGAAAGCAACAGAGGCTTAAAATGTCTAAGACCCGCACTGGGAGTTCAAAAAATCATCAAAATTAAAGACGCTAACAATAAGGTAGAGAAGGACAAATATAAAATAACAAATATTGTCGAAGACTTCTACACATCCTTGTACAGCTCGCAAGACCAGTCTAATGAAACAACAAAGGAGAACGTCAAAAGAAAATAAAAAACGTGGGATCAGTACTAAGTACTGATCCCACGTTTATAATCAAAGTACTACCAAATATAAAGGGATACGAAGTAGAGAGAGCTTTAAAAGAACTAAAAAAATAATAAAGCTCCAGGACACGACGGTATCATTGCCGAGCTCTTAAAAACAAGCAAGACATTAACAATCCCTGTACTAACAGAGCTATTTAATAGATGTCTCCATAATAGCCAGATCCCTAAAGACTGGAACGAGAGTCTAGTAATACTCTTACACAAAAAAGGGGACAAATGTGATCTACAGAATTATAGACCTATATCGTTGCTCAGTCAAGTATACAAACTATTTATGAGAATTATTAATAACCGGTTAACTTACAAAATGGATAATTACCAACCGGTTGAATAGGCTGGCTTCCGCAAAGGATATAGTACATCAGACCATCTGCTGACAATGAAAACATTGATAGAGAAGGCAAATGAATACCAACTACCCGTATTTCTTGCCTTTGTCGACTATGAAAAGGCGTTTGATAGTATCGAGATGTGGGCCATAGAACAAGCTATTAATAATTGTAGAATAGACTCGAGATATAGGCAACTAATACATAATATATATATGAAAATGCAACTATGATAGTATAACTAGACGAAAATACAAATCCCATCCCCATTAACAGAGAAGTGAGACAAGGAGACGTAATATCGCCTTTTCAACCTAGCCCTAGAAGACGTCTTCAAAACTACAAATTGGTCAACCTATGGCATTAACGTTAATGGCAACAAGTTAAACCACCTCAGATTCGCTGACGACATAGTGATTATAGCGAGCACATTTGAGGAACTGCAAATTATATTGGGGGAACTAGCAGCCAGCTCCCAATACGTCGGCCTAAAAAGTCCGGAAATTACTAGAAAAGCAAGACTATCATGGGCAGGATTTGGAAAACTTAGTTGGATACTTAAGAACCGCAAAATACCCCAATACTTGAGGAGCAAAGTGTTCAACCAATGCATCCTTCCTATTATGACATATGGATGTCAAACCTGGACCCGAACCAAGGCAAACATGAATAAACTAGCCACAACAGAAAAAACAATGGAAAGAGCAATGTTAGGTATACGACTGTCAGATAAAAATAAGAACGATTGGGTAAGATCCAAAACAAAAGTCGAGAACATAACAATAAAAATTGCAAAGCTTAAATGGAGCTTCGCGGGCCACACTGCTAGACAGAAAGACCAACGTTGGAATACTACAATACAACATTGGAGACCTTACGAAAGTAAGCGACCAAGAGGAGGACCACAGATGAGATGGGTTAATGACAGAAGAATAGCCGGAACAAATTGGAAATATGTTGCTCAGGATAGAGACTGATGGAAGGAGTTGGGAGAGGCCTATGTCCAAACATGGACGACAGAAGGCTAAGAAGAAGAAGAAGAAGATACATGCAGGACACATACAGGTCACGAAATATGACAGAATATTACATTTAACACAAAAAACACAAAAAAAAATCAGAGAAATTATTAACGAACCATCTTCAACGATATGGGTCAGAAATTCAAACATGCATAAAAAAGCAGCCACAAAAAAATATGTCATTAAAGGATAAAATATTGATGGAATAAAGAAATTAAAAAAAGAGAGAACAAAATATTTAAAAGCCTAGAAATTATGCTCAGAGAACATATAGGGAGAAACCTAGAAAATAGTCATAAAACTTAATATAGCAGCAGCGCCGATAAAAAACAGAGGATAGATACCCTCTTTCCTAGTAAGCACGATATTACTACGACCATCAGCATGCTAAACATACGTCTTGAACATTTCACCACTGAAAAAAATGGTTACCGAAGGAATCAAGATAGATAAATCTACGGGTCCGGATGGTGTACCGACTGAGGCGATCAAGATATTAGATAAAAACTAGAAGCAAAGGAAAACTGACACGTTTTTGAAACTCGGAAAGCCACAGGATGAAACCAGACCAACCTGTCTGTTAGATTGCTTAGAAAAATTCTATAAAACATTTTAAAAGAATTGCCAACAAGATGAGCTGCAACAACTACAAATCATTGGGTATTATCAATTCGGATTCCGGAAGAATATATTGATGAAAGATTCGGTCAAGCTAATTTCCAACACAACCAAAAAATACAAGAAGACTTGGGTTATTTTCGTTATTAAGAAATCGGTTAACTAGTTATATAGTATAACGAGACTAGAAAAATGTGTCATAATATTTAGTAAATTTAATCAGGAGAATAGGAGTTAACTAAAAGTTAAAAGATAATATGATCTTGATTGTGACGAAAAAGGAGATGATATTAACTGCCGGGCTGTCACAGGGATCCGGATTGGTTTAGGAATCATTCCATATAACGTGACTCCAGTTAAATATTGCAGTCAAATATCTCTAAAATGCTGCAGAAAAGAACGATGCTATACGGTTACAACTAGTCAAGAGATAAATTCAAGTAATTGTACTAAAAAGTAAAAGAGATAAGAGTAACACAATTTTTTACCATGTTAACAGTACACTGGAACTACTGTGCGAAAGGCCGGGGCATGTATTTGGAGGCAAGTATTTATTATAAGAAATATATAGGTAATGTTGTTCAAAAAACCAAACAGGGTTTAAAGATCTTTATCTCTATTAAAGTAAACGTCTCTTCTTCTCTTCATACCATGTCAATAACTAAACATTGGTTATCATATTGGCTACCAGAATTTTAATTCACCGTAGCTCTGAAGAGAGACGACAAAGACTGGTCAAACCAATCACGTAGGTTACGAAGTTATGATGTTCGTTGACCGTGACCCCCCTTTCCACATATTTTGCCCAGGATCATAAGATGAAGGACTCCATATCGTTCTGGCTTATCGTATTGACTTTCCAATAATTTACTAATTGCCAATAGAACTTTATCAAAGTAATTTGATAACTACAGGTTGGAAAATAATTGCACACCCACACAATTTTACATCTAAACATATTCATTGTCATAAAACTGTCACCTTCTTAAAACAATTACTCAATAAATAACACATATTTCAAAAATATATCTCTCGAATAAGTATAAATAGCTTTTAATAACACAATGATATATTACATTACTTTCATTTAACAAACAATCACACACATATCTCTTCTTCATTGGATCAAATCTATCTCCTCAAGAACTTCCCGTTTACTGTCAAACAACTGCAATAATAGAATTGAGTTCTCCATTCAACAATATATAGTAGTTTCAACCATGTTCTATCATCCATCAATTAATAGAGTACCGGCATATAAGTAATGTTTATTTTATTTATTTATTTGCTCATTTGTTAATTTATTACAATCGAAGAGACTATTTTATAACAATTTGTGGGCCTTACCTTGTCTGTTTAAACTTTTAAAATTTTTATACCTTTTATTCAACTTACTCATTTAAATAAAACCACAGACATGTAATATTGGCATAATTATTGTAATTTACAACATCTACTTTGTTTATCGTTATTGGACAACACCCTAATATGGGTTTTATTATTTCAGCATTTGTTTAACTTTGTATCGAGACCTGAGGATGCTTTGCATATTGTAGAAAGCGAAACCGGCCGTCAGATAGTTAAATTAAATTGATTGTGAGTAAGTCTTATTTATTATTTCTTTACCTATTTGAAATGGACTCACACAAGCAACATATTCATGATTTGGATAGAAATTATTTTCATTCATTAATTTTTAATAAACAAAAATTTCTCTACCCAGATGGGATTCGAACTCACGACCTTTGGGTTTAAAGGTAGGCGCTCTTACCACTGAGCCACAGAGGGGGTTACTCACAAAAGGTTGTCTCTATTCAAAGTAGTCAGTTCATAATAGCCTCGTTAGCCTGAGGGGCTATCGACGATAGCACTGCAGGTAATATCAGATATAAGATACATCTCCCATTCACCTCCTAGCAAGAGATAGAAGAAGATATATGACAACCGAATTGGCCACCTACTACAGGACGTAAAGAACTGTTAAATTAGAATGGAAGTTAAAAACACTAAAGTGTAATGGACGAGCATCTTAATGCCTGATGTGAAAATATGTACGTAAAACATTGCATCTTTTCGCATCCCAATGCGAGAAACTGAGATATTTGCTGATAACTATACCAAAAGTAACATATTGACCAAAGATACAAACATATAACGAAACATACATACAAACAAACATACAAACAATAAAAAAACGAAGGATCCATCAGTAGCACTAATCACAGCATTATAAAGAAAAAGGTAACACTATAGAGAGCAAGCTCAAATTAATTAACAGGCTTATCGGAAAATTTAAGTAACATTTTATACTTTTTTACTTGTTTAAAGAACTTTATTACTATTTTTAACACCTAAATTAATCACTTACCTTTGTACAAAATTCTTGTTATTCTTTCTCATAAAGTATGTTGACTAAATGTTTTGGTTAACTTACCTAGAAATATTTTTTCGCAAACAATTTGCAAATTGTTGTTTGCTACATAACTGCTACATTTGTTTCCATGTTCGCATCTTGAACGACAATCAATGAAATCACAGTCATTATCACTTTTACAATACTCAACTTCTTTTATAATCGAATTAACAACAGATTTTGGTAGCACTCCATCCAAATCGATAAATTTGAGAGTGTTCTGGTTTTTCACTATTCCAAAATGCTCCAGTTTAAGGTCACAAAGGTGAAAGGGTTCCCTAAATTTGGTTTCTAGTTTTTCTAATAGATCTAGTATTTGAACCGCTAGTTTTAAACGTTTTCCCCAATTTTCCATACTGTCGCTGGCTGTTAACAACGACGACATGGATGGAATGGGTTCTAGGTATTCTACGGCGAAGTAGGGACCACATGTACCTAAAATCGTATTGATATACAAAAAAAATCAAATTTTTACTTTTATACATATTCTAACAAATTTCCAATCGTAAACAAAGTCTTTTCTTAAAGGTAACATGAAAAATATACTTTATGGGCAAAAGTACGTGTTTAGAAGTTAGGACGTTACACAGTATCAAAATTCATAAACTACTATTTTGCCTATTTGGTTGTGGGGTGAACTGAGTAGATCTACATTCGTTGCAGTCGGTCTTAAGCCTAGAAAGAGAGGAGGTATAGGTGAGCAACACCTCTCGAAAAAACGGTGTTTATCTGACCACGTGGATAGCACTCAGGGAAGGCTCCTGCCTAGGATATAAGTGAAAAATGGTCAACGACGGAACACAATGTCAAAAAACGGAAAACAAAACGTAAAAAATAGAACAACCAGTCAGGGAAGGCTGATCTCTTAAGTCATGGCAGACAATTGATCTAGAGAAAGATGAGCTCGATACAAAATTTCACTGGTTTCCAGGTTGGAGGTTGCAACAACAGACCAATACCATATCTCATAAAAATATGTTTTTTCGAAATGAATTATAATTGATAGCAACATTAGAAGAAACTGCTAAAGAAGCTCAAAAATTAACCATCGACATTCTCCAACAGAAAACAAAAAAAAACAAGAGAAATTTGAACATAGCAGAATATATACCACTGCCTATGGTAATTGCGGGGTAGATTGAGTAGCTGTGCGGAGGGTGATTGACAAGGTTAACAACCTACCCATCGTAAAAACGAATATTACTCAAAGAAATAATGTACAGTCTGGGAACAGGATTGATAGGATGGAAGGAAAGGAAAAATCTAACTTACAGGTAATAGATCTGAAACAGTGGAAACACCATTATGAGGTCTTACTGACAGATGATAGATGTAAATTCCAAGAGATCGAAACGGAAGAAATATCCGAACACACACAAAAAAAATTGAGATAACAACCGAAGAGTTAAACGATGGCCTCAAAAGATCGAAAAACGGTAAAGCAGCAGGACCTGGAGACATCACAATTGAGTTGGTAAAGTATGGACCTTGGACATCAGCTCAATATTCAAGAAAGGGGATAAACGCAAATGCTCTAATTATAGGGGAATAAATGTTATCAGCTCAGTGGGGAGGTTGTACGGTCGAATAATAAAAGAAAATATAGAATCAGAATACGAAGACATTGAAGAGCAACAACTTTATTGTTCGCAGATGATCAGGTAGTCGTAGCGAATGAGGAGGAAGACATGGATTACATGTTTAGAAAACTAAAGCAATATATGAAACATGGGGCCTCAATATGAATATGTCAAAGTATTTTAAAATAAGAGATGATGAAGAAGATACAGAGTTAGAAATTAGAAACACAAAAACATGCAACGAATATAATTACCTCAGATCTATAATATCTAAAGAAGGCACCACCAAAAGAGACATCGAAAACAGAACGCAGCAAGGACAAAAACGGTTAACATTCTAAACTCTGTACAATGGTCTAAAGATATTAGAAAAGAAACGAAATTGACAATCTATCGAACCTTGGTAGAGCCTATTAATCAGGTCGTCAACTCAAGGGACCAAGCAATAACCCAACTGATGAAATAGAAACAAATAGACATTTGCGCTCTACAAGAAACAAAAAAGAAAGGAAAAATTAGGTGAATACATACTAGTCCAAAGTGGAGTAACAAAAGATTATGTGAAAACTTGCATTTGTGAACAAAAATTCAAATATGGTGTAACAGATGACCAATCCGTTTAAACAAGAGAAGACTTTATTGATGAAGTGAGAAGAGTAATCGACAAAATTTGACATAATCGAGAGAAAATTCTATTGGGTGATTTTAAAAGCCGGGTTGGTGAAAAGAATAACGATATGCTACATAGAAAAAAATGTAAATAGTAGAATGACTGAACAAGAAAGTAGAGCTATATCGCAACGATCGCTGAAAATAAGTTAATAAAGAACATGGTAGAAGCTAAAAAAGACAGACTGTGAAGTGAAAACTTTGAAACTAGAATAAATGAACTGAGAGTAAAGTTTAGAAGAAATAAAAAGTTTGATAAATCACTGTAAATCACGGATAAAGTGAATCACGGATGCCTTGTAGATATGTTCGACATTTATATTAAGTACAAGAATATGTGAAGAATAAATCAACTCTGTAACAAAAAAAGTTGAACATAGTATCAACCATTTCAAATTTTTTATTGCTATATAATTTCAAATGTCAAACAAATATTGTTTAACAAATAATAACAAAAAATTACCTAGAAGTTGGGGAAACACATCCTTATCTGTAAATAAAGCCGACAGAAGATATTCGTTATCCTGTAGCAATAACCATAGGTTGTCTATTTCCTTCCTCCTCTTCAATCTATTCTTTTCTTCGTATGTGGGTTTAAGTCTTGATAATCGAATAGCTGTATCATAAGCCAATGTTAGATTAAACTTATTTTTTACTACGGCTCTTATTGTTTGTAGGAACTCTTTTTCTGACGGATATTTTACAATTCCATTGTCGAACCAGTGAATGGCTTGGATGTCTTTTGGTACTGATTTAAACACTAAAACAGTTTAACATTATTAGGAATTAAGGGTAGGTATACTTAATTGTAGTATTTGGAGCGTAGTCCTTTAATATTGTTACACTAACAAACTGAAAAATATAAACTTTAAAACTCAAAATGGACAGGAGACAGGATAGGACAGGAGAAGACAGCTTAAAACACAAAAATGGTGTAGCAATAATTGTATCGAAGGAAACAGATGAAGCTGTAAAAAACGTCGTCCTATTCTCAGACAGGATACTGATGGTACAAATACAATCAACAACAATCAATGTGAACATATTACAAGTATATGCACCCACACAAGACTATGAACAAGGAGAAATTGAAAAATTCTATCATGATTTAGAAAAAGTATTAGCACCTACAAAGAAGCACGATCTCAATATTATCATGGGAGATTTTAATGCAAAGATTGGTGAAGGTGAACAGGAAGATATCATAGGGAAATATGATCTGGGAATACGAAATGAAAGAGGAGATATGTTGGCATCTTTTTGCGTAGAAAAGCAATTAGGAATAACGAACACAATTTTCAAACTTCCAAAACGTCGTCTTTACACCTAGAAATCACCAGCAGATACACCTGAACGAGTTGTTCGTAACCAAATAGACTTCATATGTATAAATAAGAGATACAGAAACTCAATATTAGCAGTAAAACATATCCAGGCGCAGATGTACCAACATATCACAATATTTTAGTAGGAAAAATAAGACTGAGATTAAAAAGAGTTGCAAGGACGAATAAGCAAACAGTTACTATTGATAGAGAAACGATGCTAAATGATACTGTAAAACAAGAAATAACTAGTATATTAGAACCAAAAATGAAGTTAACATCAAGCAAAGAAGAAAGTACTGAGGAAAACTGGACGAGAATTAAAGACATGTTAAAGACTGTTCAAGAAACAAAATTGAGTGCGCTAAAAGCAAGAAAAAAACAAAGATGGATGACAGAAGAAATACTGAGACTTACGGATCAAATAAGAGAAGTCAGAAATAAAGATAAAAACGAATACAAAAGGATCCACGCAATAATCAGGCAGAAGATAAGACACGCGAAAACACAATTTCATAGTAAAGAATGTAATGAAATTGAACAATATGAAAAGAAACACGATACATTTCATCTGCACAAGAAATTAAAAGAGGTCGCTGGAGACAAACCGAAACAAGTATCCCAAAGTTTAGAAGACAGAAACGGACACAGAATATTAGACATCAATGAAAAGTTAAAAGAATGGGAAAACTACATTTCTGAATTATTTGAAGATGAGAGAGTAGAACACTATACACCGATTGCTATATCAGGTCCATCTATAACAGAAAGTGAGGTAAGACGTTCAATACAAACGGCAAAAAATGGAAAAGCACTTGGTCCCGATGAAGTAAGTGCTGAAATACTAAAGTTTTTGGAAGAAAATTTTGGAATTAAAGCTCTGTGTAATCTCTTTAACAGAATTTATGACACTGAGATATTACCAACTGATTGGTTAAAGTCGACATTTGTCACAATACCTAAGAAACATCGTCCAAAGACATGCGGTGATTATCGGACAATAAGTCTGATGAGTCACGTTTTGAAGATCTTCCTGCGAGTAATACACAGCAGAATTTACACGCTGTTAGAGGACAGAATTAGCAATACACAATTTGGGTTTAGGAGTGGCTTGGGTACAAGAGAAGCCTTGTTTAGTATACAGGTGCTAGTACAGATATGCAGAGATATAAATCAAAATGTGTACATTTTTGTGCAATCGATTTTGAAAAAGCCCGACATAACAAAATGCTAGAAATATTGGAAACAGCTGGATAGGACGATAAAGATTTGCAAATAATTACAAATCTATACTGGCATCAAGTGGCAAGAGTAAAGGTTGAACAAGAATTGTCGGATGAAATAAATATAAAAAGAGGAGTAAGACAAGGCTGTATATTGTCGCCTTTACTTTTTAACTTATATTCGGAGGAAATATTTAAGGAAGCCTTAATGGAGACAACCGAAGGTATTGTTGTGAATGGAGTAACCGTCAACAAAATTAGATATGCCGACGATACGTTAGTCCTTGCCAATTGCGGAGAAGACCTTCAAAATCTAATGAACAAAATAAAACAGACTTGTGATCAGTATGGATTAAAACTCAACGTTAAGAAAACTAAATATGATAGTTAGCAAACAAAATTATATACAGGACGACGGTATAAAAGTCGGAGCCACACTGGACAGAGTAGAGAAACTCGTGTATCTCGTCAGTAATATCAATGAGAGCTGGGATCCAACTGCAGAAATTAAAAGCCGAATAGAACAAGCGCGAGCTGCCTTTGTAAAAATGAGAAACGTACTTTGCAGTCACGATCTTAGCATTGACCTTAGAGTTCGTATGACATCTTGCTACATCTTTCCGGTCCTGCTGTATGAAGTGGAAGCGTGGACTCTAACTGAGGCTATGCTTAAACGCTTGACAGCCTTTGAGATGTGGGTATACAGACGACTACTGAAAATAAGCTGGGTCAACAGAGTTAGAAATGAGGAGGTACTTAGACGGCTGAGCCAAACAACACAACTGGTCAATATAATAAAGAAACGCAAGCTGGAATACTTCGGTCACATTATGCGACACCCTAAAAAATATGATCTTTTAGATCTGATCATTCAGGGAAAGATCCAAGGTAATCGTGGTCCTGGTGGACGAAGAACATCATGGCTGAAAAATCTAAGGCAATGGTATGGAAAATCAACTACATCGTTATTTAGAGCTGCTGTCAGAAAGTCACGATAGCGAATATGGTAGCCAACATGATATCCAACGATCGATAACGGTCATGGAACTAGAAGAAGAAGAAAACTCAAAATACTACTGTTGCTCTCCTCTACTGTTACTTATATTTTCTGACGTCCCAAACTTCACTAGACGTTTCATGAATTTTCGATCTCATCTTAAATGTTCTCGAACTACTTCTTCTTTTTCGGCAAGGGAATTTCTATATGCGATAGATCTTATGGAATTTTCATAAAACTGTTCCCTCCTTTATAGTTATTCACCTCGAATAATTGGACTATCAGGGATCGATTGAACCCAACATTATCAGTTCTATGGTATGGAGCGAGTCTCTCGATTTGAACTACCTTGGGTTTACTTATAGCTGAAACCTGGATGCGGGAGCCTAGATCGTTTATTTTCTGTAGGACGGTGTATGGGCCTTCCTAGTTTCGTTGAAGTTTTGGACAATGTCCTTTCTTACGTGTGGTATCGTAAAATCATACGGGGTCACCTCTTTCGAAAGCTGTACAGGTAGCATGCATGTCAAGCCTGGTGTTGTGAATAAAGGAACTCAAGGAACGAAAGTCAAGAAGCGACTGAATGTCAAAGCAAGCTTGTTAACGGGGTGGCAGCAGTATCAGTAGGCAAACTGCAAATGTCTAATAAGCAATATCATAGTCAGTCAAAAAGAACCTTCAAAGAACTCCACGAGGAAACTAAGTTCCTGTAGCTGGCTGTATACCATATATCACAAAAAAATTTTGTTTAAAATCCTTTATAAAAGGTATATAAAAATGCCTCAAACAGGCTATCACAAACACATTGCAAAACGTTTTCGGATTAAACCGAAAACGTTTTGCAATGCGTTTGTGATAGCCTGTTTGAGGCATTTTTATATACCTTTTATAAAGGATTTTAAACAAAATTTTCTTCAAAGAACCTCACTTTGAACCTATCATAGTATTTATAGCATAAATTAGGGTGACTTTAAGAGTTATATTATTCATATCTACTTTAACTTTTAGTATTTTTATTTTACTATTATTATATTTATGTAAAGTTCAAATATTTACCTAGACGTGTGTCATGCCACTCTGCACTGAAGACTGCTTCTTTCGTAGCTTCGAAGGAGTGACAGGTTAGAGAATGGATATCTTTTGTGACGCATAGTGGAGCACACAAGGATCCTACTGCAAGACCACTCTCGTAAAGATGACACTAGAACAAAAAAGTTGGTTATCAGTATTCCTTGATACATGTAGATTTTGGTAAACTAAGAAGTAATAATTTTGTAGAAGAAAACGATATTCAATTGACAACTATATTTTCAAGTTTAAATATTTGTGGACAAAAGGTAATAAAACATATTTTTAAAATAACTATCTTTTAACTGCGTAGAAAGGCAAAAATATAAAAACTACAAAATCTAGTACATTTCTATCATTTTTAGAGATCAAAACTTTGGCCATCGTGCAGTTGGAATAACGAAAAGAACTATTGATAAAATAAAAATTTTAGATCCCAATGAAATACAAAATGAAAAAAACATCTGACATTCTTAAACAATGGCAATGTAGACATGGATGTACATTTGAAAAGATAACACGTTTTACAAAAGACTGGCGAACCGGAATCAAAAATAATAAAACAAAAAAGTAAATTTAGAGCGTTAATGAAAATTTAGTGTGATAAAAAATATGGCTATATAAAACTGTTATAAGCTATGTCACCGAAAGATAAAATGACGTTAGTCGATTCAATACTTTAATAATACAGTATTGTCCAAAATAAATAGTACTGAAACTGAAACATAGTTGTCTCTTTGTGCGCGCTGTCATATTCAAAAGTACTAGTATAGACCTGCCTAGTAATCCTTAAACAATTATTTATTAAGTCCTAATTGTTAAAAATTCTGTTAAGTACAGAGGAGAGAGAGAGAGAGGTATTATAGCTCATACGGAATCGGTCGACGTAATAGTGCAAGTCTGCAATATGTGTGTGATCAATTCACCCAAGGGTTTAATAAACGTTCTCCAAGTAATGCTGTAATTTTAAAGGTTATAAAAAAGGTTATGAAAAACAAGAATCTTATGTGTACCGTGGCACCAACTAAATGCAAAATGGGAACAGACCATAGAAATTAAGGCAAGAATAAAACGAGCTAGAGCAGCATTTAGCAATATGAAAAAGCTCCTCATAAGCAAGGATTTGTCTCTTCCCCTAAAACTACGTATAGTTAAATGCTACATTTTCCCGATCTTGCTGTATGGCGTGGAGGCCTGGACGCTGACGGAGACGCTAACGAGAAAACTAGAAGCATTCGAAATGTGGGTGTACCGACGCATTCTTCGTATATCCTGGACCGAACATGTCACCAACATAGAGGTACTCCAAAGAATCGGAAATGAGAAAGAAATCGTGAATACAATTAAACAAAGAAAGCTTGAATATCTAGGCCACATATTGAGACACGATAAGTACCGTCTGCTACAATTGATTGTCCAGGGAAAATAGACAGTAAGCGAGGGCCAGGCAGGAGAAGACACTCGTGGGTCCAAAATCTGCGGAAGTGGTTCGGGCTCACATCGGTCGAACTATTCAGAAGCGCCGCAAACAAGATCAAATTTGCCATGTTAATAGCCAACGTTCGCAACGGACAGGGCACTTGAAGAAGAAGATGAAAAAGTGCAGAAATACGGGTAATCTATTGTGCTAACAAAAAGAAAACTCAAGTCGTCCCGGTACAGTTAACAACAATAATAACAACGAACGTGATTTTGAGCGAATCAAAAACCAGCCAGACAAGAACAGCGTTGCATCTTTCCTGAAAACGAACTTCCTTTCAAAGAATCCTGAAGGAGCTCGGTGCATTTTCGTATGGGATTCAGGTACATCAACAATTATATCCCAGGGATTATCACAGTAGGGTGGAATATTGTGCCAGAATTCTTGCATTACAGTATGAAAATCCTGAATTTTTGAAAAATGTATGGTTTTCAGACGAAGCACATTTTCATTTGTCAGGCCATGTAAATCGTCGCACAAATCGAGGGACAACTGGAGAGAAATTCTTGAAGAGGCTAGGAACCACGCAGGGTTGTAAAGCCAGAAGGGTGATCATGTATGTACTCTTTGCGTATATTACGAATATGCCTTTTTAATTATTACTTAATAATTTCATGTTAAATTAACCACGTAAACTGTATCGATAAATTTTTTTAACGATATTTTTAGAACGATTTTTGTTGACAAACACAAGGATATGTACATTATTTACAGTTGAATTTTAGCTATCTTAGATTCGTTATTATTAAAAAATAAAATATTTTTGAGAACACCATAATATTTGAATCCATTTAAATCAATCACTCTGTATAATTATTAAAAAAAGTCTGGTATAAATAAATTGTTCTGTGAATTATTTAAACTAAGATATTATTTAACAATTAGTTTTGGAAAAAGTTATTTTATCAGGGTAATTTACCTTACCAGTATCGAAACATGATGCCAGGCTTGAAGATTGACGCACAGCACATTGAATTTAAATAACAGATAAATAAAAGTGAATATAACAATAGCTATAGAGTACACCGTATACTTGTGTGTATATAAAATTCCTGGAATTCTTCTATACAAAATCATAACAAAACAATGCAAGGAAGTGGATTTTTAAACGACAAATGAAAAGTCATAGCAGCCAAGGGGTGAAGAATCGACCGTGGAGTAGGAAAATAACAAACTTCGTATTGCAGTAATCGAACCCTGATGCTGTCGAATATTCCAAGAGACGGACAATTTTTTGTCTCATGAGCAGTCTGGCTGCCAGATTGACACTGGTATACCAATTATCAGTTGTCAAATACCTTCCAGAATCAAGCAAAGGGGCCATCAAATCAAAAACAACACTATCAGATACGTTTCCTGTCCTTTGTATGTGTATATGTGTATGTGTACCTGTATGTGTATCTACCAGCCGCACAAAGTTTAAACACTATGATCCCATAGCAATGTCGTTTATTTGGGATTTACTGGCGAACATAAAGCCGGTCTCTTAACGGTATATTACTCTCATCAATGCAGACATGTTTTGGAAGGAATTATTTATAATACTGAGAATATATGAGATTTTATGTAAACGATCATTGGCTGCCGGTCATTGTTATCCGCGAAATTTAGCATTCTCATCAAAATTTCGAATCTATTTCTCGACATAACCTTGCAAACTTGATTCTGGAAAAGTCGGTTTGTTGACCAGTACCAATTGATTTTACTGTACTTACAAAGTCATATCCATATCAGAAGTCCAAGTAGTCTTTTCATTTCACTCACAGTTGTGTTTTTCCATGCATTTAGTCTAGAGGTACTATTTGGATTAACTTCCAATACTTTTTCAGCATATTTATTGGTCTCTGTTACAATAATATCCGGATCGACGTTGGAAATAAAGTATAGAAAGTATGCAGCTGGGTACCGATCTTAAAGTTCCAACAATACATCATTTTTGAATCCAACATTTTCTCAAGTAGTGAATTCAAAGTGTGGTGGTCAACGGTTCTGATCTGTTAGATTTTCTAGACATTTTACGGACTTATGTTTAGATATTAGATAACCTTAAATGTTTATTGCTTTATTTAGATTAACGAATTGTTTCCTGTGATCACTCTCTGAAACAAAAGAAACATAATGATACCAAAAGCGACAGTACATACTCATTTCAGCTGAAAATATCTGTGATCTCTATGAGGGTCACGCGGTACATCAATTCAAATTTAAGTTGTGGTACCGCGTTACCCTCATGGAGATCACAGGAACATAGGCCGAAAAAAAATTGTCGACACTTGTATCAATCTTGTATCTGGTAATAAAAGCGTAAAATGAGGCTGGTGTCCAATATGTTAATTAAACAAATATTTATAGTTAAACATCAATAATGCATTTTTATGTAACATTTGATCCAATATGACACACCCACCGTAAACATAGCCATTTCCCAATGTCTGATGTGGAGTTGAAGTTTTGCGCATATACATGCGCATGATATGGCAGGAAGTGCAGGATACAGTTTACTTTTGTATTAATGGAATTTCGGCGCTCAATAATTTAACTACCCACAACAAAATAATTAATTTTAGGACAATAGATTCATTGCTTTCCAAAGATTACAAACAAAAATTCTATTTACGTCGTAAAGTTTCATACATACGGAGGTACACTGTAAAACATTTTTGTTGTATAAAGTATTCAAGAAATGGATGAGATATTTTAAATATAAATAAATAAATAAAACGTTATGCAAATATAATGTATAGTAAAATGTGTTATAAAAGATTCAGGCAAACTTGTATCAAAATGGAACAGAGTTTCTCCCTTTTTTAGTAAAAATACGAGCAATAATGCTCTAGCTGAAAAGGCAGAGCTTATAGTATCGATACTATAGAAAATATATTATACAGTCTATACAGAAACATTTAAGCATCAATATTTAAACAAGATATAATTAATTTAATTTAATTGGTACTAGCTATTTTGTCAAAATCTTGAAAGATCTCTAAAAAATAAACAAAATATACTGAAATAATGGATCATCATTAAAAAAGGAGAACACCATTAGATGAACAAGTGGTAGAATAATGCGTAGGGATGAAGATATTTAAAAAATTAAAAATGCATAAAAATGTCCAATGAAACAATGATAATTATTCTACCAAGGTACCATATCTGTATGGAATACCAGGCGAAATCCCACGGAAGACCAGGAAGGGCTTGCTTTTGCATTCGCAGCTTTGTGAGAGTGGAAATACTGTTATATAGTTATTTGTGGGACTAAGCTGAGCGTCAAAGAAAAAGAAAAAAAAAATAGAAAAAAAATAACAGACTTTTCTAAATCAAATAACTAAAAATGAGCCCAGAAGACACAAAAGGCTAGCAGTATAACCAATAAGAAGGAATTTCAAAAAGAAATACAGCCGGGAACGAGGTGAAGGGTTTTGGAGGAATAGTATTATGATAAAATCACCTTACGAGCTAGGAGTAGGTGGTGTAAAAAGGTACTCCCAAAAAGAATGTGTTAACTCAAGAAGATACATTTTCCTCCAGAAGAAAGCTCCAAACCAAGAAGTAAAAGAAAGAGAGTCGCTACTCCCAAGATGATGGAGATGAAATGAAAACAAGAACAGATGGCGGATACAATAAAATCATTAAGTCAACAGACCACGTATGCTTGTAGCCCAAACAGTGAAGCATTCTTTCATAATTCCTGAAGGACTACCAACAACAATTAAAATGATATTGCACTGTCCGTGAATGTAATAACATATCAAACCATCGTCACTAACAGGTGACGATAAAGATAGGCAAAAGAAAACAAAAAAATTAAACTTTTAATCACCTGAGCAAAGAAGAAAAAATAAACAAATTTTGTTGATCCTAGATTTAGGAAAACGACATTTTGGCACACTCTCTGAGATAATTGACCTTGAATAGTCAAAGAACTCGTATAATACAAGTACGTTAAGCTTTGGGAATGTGACATCAGTAATATAAAATTAATTGTTATTAATTGTGGGCTCATAAAATGAGATGACATTAAAAACTTTACAAAATAACCACGGTTTGTACAGCATTGCCAAAAAAGGTCCAACAGAAGCGCAGATAGACTGCGCCTCTAGCTTTGCTAGGAAGGTACAAACTAAAAGTGAAGGGATTGAACAAAGTAAACCGTGTTTTTTCATGCTTTATAAATAAGAAGACGGTGCAGTAAACGACAGCCTAAAGTTGTTTGAAACTATAAAGCAATTAAAGTCAAAAGGTCAACCAATCTCGCGATAAAAACACTTGGCAGAGATGTATCACATTACTTACAAAACTTAAGGCCATAAAATACAAAGCACCTTACATGGACGTCTACATTAAAAATTAAGAGATGGTGTTACATGTAAATGACATAAATGTGGACTTCAGCGTGTAGAAAGCGAAACGACATATTATCAAAAATTATCCAAGTATATCTGAGGATCAGCTTACCATACGCTAATTAATGCTAAATAGAAATGGTAATCAAATGGCTACGATTGTATCTAAATATATTGCTAAAAATATTGCCATAGACCTGATTAGAATGGGTAGAATTAAAATTCTTTGTCTTCTTCTTCTTCCTTTTTATAAGCAATTCTGCTTGTTCATTGGTGGATTAATACCTATATGGAAGGTTGCCACTCTATCTTTTGCGCAGTCGTCCGATACTTCTTCTGCCTTCACTTCCTTTTTGATCTCTTAGTGTATTTCCTGTAATTCTTCTCAGTACTCTCATCTCTGCCGTTTTCAATAGCCTTCGCGTTGTGGCTGTGTTGGACCTTGTTTCTGAGGCATATGTCATTATTGGTCTTACACTAGTTTTCTAAATTATTGACTTCATCTCAGCGTTAATTTGTCTGTTTCATCATATAGTGTTATTAAGGCATCCTGTCAGTCTATTTGCTTTTTGTATTTGATCTCTCACTCCTTTGTCCAAGTCTCCATATCTAGTCCATATCCATATCAAGTCTCTATCTTCATCTTGGGCTATCAATTTTGCGTCGTCTGCGTAACAGAGTATTTTTATTTTTGTTTACAATGCTGTATCCTCTTCCTTTGTTAAAGCTTTTAATGATTTCATCGATGATCAAATTGAAGAGCGTGGGGCTCAATGAATCCCCTTGTATTATTTAGCTGCCTATTTCTATAGTGTCTGTAAGTTGTCCATCTATTCCGACTATTTAGACACGGAAATGCTGGTCTATTATACTCTAGTGATTTTTCAGTAATTTGCTTTATAAAGAATATTGCATCTGTACATTACAGAATTAAAATTGGATGGAGAGCAACTATAGAATTAGAGTCCGAATAAAGCTAATAAGATGCAATCGCTGCCTTGATTATGGATATACGATACAAGACTATAAGGGCCTGAACAGAAGTTACAAATGCCTGAACTGTGGCGAAAAAGGACACAGGGCAATGAGTTGTAAAGCAAATCCCTTCTGTAACGTATGTAAACAAAGAAACCACAAATCTGATACAAATAAGTCCCCAATTTCCGAGACTTGTACAAGAAAGTGCGCACTCAATTTAATAAAGCAACACTAGTTAGCTAACTGATAGAGAAACATAGAGCAACCAAAGGTATAACTGCAGTTATGTCAGAAATGATATTTCAAAATGCCTAATACATGAAGAAAAAGGGGAGATTTTGGTTATCACAGGCCGGTGGACTGTGGTACGGTCTATCAAGTGTGCGTAACTGCATTTCTCCTCTACCTGAAAATCAACTGTAATACTTCAGTCTTTCTCGATCTTTTGCAAGATACTAGCATGCAATAAAGCTATTTGGGCAAAATTAATAATATTTCTTCATATGTTAGTTTATGCTTACATATGTTTTAATCAATGATATAATGTTTAAATTGATAAATACTGGGTTTCGTGCTGTTAATACTCTTTTATTTAAATTATCACATGAAGCAAGAATTCTTATGATAACAATTGTTCATCAATACTACTGTTCATTAATATTTTTATGTTACTTAAAACATTCAATGAGTGCGTTGACCTTTTTGGTAACCGCACAATAAAAAATTAATTTCATTTATTCGTGTGACAAATTA